AAAAAAAATAATAACCAAAAAAATATAAAGTGATCCCGCGGAACGGACTGCCGTAGCGAAAGGGTTAAAAATGTTCCGATACCTCTTCCGTCAGTATTTCACCGATATAGCATATTATAAAAATGTTAAAACAAATCGAAAGGTACATCATAAAGTACGTGGTGAGATTCTGAATGTTCTTATCGTCCCATTCCTAAAAGCGCCTAAGTAGAATCAAAAGAACTTATAAGGAAAAAAGTAGAATATTTAGATTATATTGTGTAAATATGTACCGTGAGAATCCAGAACTCAATTACGCACATAATCATCGTGCATCTAAACAATTCTAGCAAATATATTTTGTTCATCGCTTCCTCGGTGTATGAAATAAAACTGCAATTAATGTCTAGAATGACGATGAAGATCTTTATTACAAAGTACAAAATGAAAAAGAATCTCACTTTAGTGCTCTCAAATGATGTTCGACGATCATTCCGATTTCTCTCAACGGTCCCGTCTTATCGCTTCTCGATTTGTTCACAAATTCGGTGATCCACTCGGTGAGCACTCTTAATTGGCCACGCGCGTGTGCGGCCAAGACGGCAGACAAACTAAAAATGCCTACTGTGCTGGAAGTCGCGATAACGGCCGCCCAAATTTGTGCGAACAGGACGATTTCATTTGTGGGATTTTCGTTCACGTTCAATAGTTTCTCGTACACTGCACAAGGTAATACGTACAGGATTCTTGTCTCGTTGCCGACTTGAACCGCCTGTGTAGTCATCGCTGTTACGAAGCAAAAGCCCAAAATACTGCCCTGCATGAACGCCGCGCAAAATGTGATAACGTAGCGGCCAAACTTGGCGTTCTTCATCATTATTTCCTGATCCTTTTCTCTAGTTATCCGTCTCCAATCTGTTCTCATGTGTTCCACGAAATAACGAATGTCGTTACGTCGCAGCAACAATGTGCTGTAATTCACGACACTGACGGTCCAATGGCTCACAGGACCTAGCGACTTCAGCTTCATGTAAAAGCTTTCTTCTTCTAAAACCATACGCAACATGCATGGGATCATTGCGAACATTACGGAACTGTAGCAAACGATGTTCATAATGATTGAAATGATCTTTTCGTGTCTAGAGGCGGTGGACGACGATGGCCAAACGCCGATCGGTTTCAAGAGCCACCGGTTCAATTGAAGACTGTAGTCGCTATTACTATCTAGATTTGTCCTCACGCTCATGTTCCTCATCGTGGGCACTGGTCGAGTGTTGCGCGGAGTACTAAATTGTGTATCTCATCCGGATATCACAGAGTTTGTCCAACGCTTGCGCAAGTTCTTCATTTGTAGCAAGTTCGCTGATCGATTTGTCTAGTCTGTAAGATTTGTTTCGGTAAAGTGTTTGATGAGTTGTGCAAGAAAGTTGTTTACCATAATCGCTAACTGAAAGGCTACGACGACGGTAGAACTTTTCGTGAAGTTTCACGAGAACACGCAAAGTGTAGAGAGCTATTAAATGATAAACTCGAGGCAGGAAATTCTCCTTTTTTTCGAGCGTTTTGTTGCGCTTCTTGATGAAATGCAATATGTAGTGAGACATAGAACTCGAAACATCATAGTCGATTAAAAAATGTGAATCAACCGAGGAATTGTGCAAACACGAGGTATAAAGAACAATAATTTTTTGTAACAATACACATTCTGTTTTCTTTTGATAAATCAAGTGTCTACAACAGAATTCGTACAGGATAATGTAGTATTATTTACAATTTGATTATATCACATAGCAACGGTACGGAGCATGTTAAAATACGCGAATGATGTCTTAAACACCTGCAAAATAAAATACACACCAATATATGCGTATATAAAGATCATAAAGTGGCAGCTTCACGAAGAATAGTTGTAGACTGGCTTATGCTAGTGTCATTTATTACAAATACTCACGTCACCGAAAGTCGCGATGGATATTTGTACCAGTTTTCCGGCAGTAATTTTAGTCACCGCGCTCGATCTTGAGATGATCAAGACCAGACCGATAGCAACTTTAGGAGGCAATCGGTACCACTCGGTCATGTACACTCTCTCTCCGATCTCTTTGCACTGTCAAGCGTTCGACACTTGTAGACGCATTAACAAGGTTCTCCTTCGCTATCGTACTCTTACCTGTTCCGTAAGGGTCTCCCCGATATAACAAAATATAAATATATTAAAGCTCATGGACGCGTAAAGTATGCTATACGAGGCTACGGTTTCCTTAGACTTCTCCTGAGAAATTAAATTGCTTTTTCGTAAACGATTGTAGGAATATTAAGAAGTAAAGTCAGTGGTTAATTCTCCGCTGTTTGTTACCAGACCAAAAAGTTCGACAATTTATTCATTTCTTGACCGTGATAACGTAGTAGGCGGTTCAGTGATTACTTCTATGCTAGAACGTACCGTAATAATATAATATTCGAGCATGCACATGTTGAACGTACATCCCACTAACTCAACGAGGCATACTAGATTCATTACTCTTTCTATATACTGTACAAAACTAGAACCAATATATCCAAATCCGTAAACCATTTTTAACAAAGAAAATGATGACGAAACTCTTTATATGATAATACGCGAAGAACAATACCTTAATGTGCGCAAGTGATGCTCCACGATGAAACCGAGCTTCTTCTGAGCGATCCATTCGTTCTCATCTTCTGATTTCTCGTTCACCAGGTCATCTAGCTTGGACGCGACTACGTTCAACTGTCCGCAGGCGTGCATCGCTAGCACGGCTGCCAGTCCGCAAGCTCCGACCGTCACGGAGTTGACTATGAACCCGGAGAGAAATTGAATGACGAACACGATCTCGTTCACCGGGGCGAATCTGGTGTCCATCAACTTGGTGTAAAACGGACAAGGTAAACGATACATCGAGTAGCTATCGTTTCCAACGGAAAACATCATTTTTCCAAAGCCGGTGATCACGTTGTAGGAAAGTACGCCAATGTGCATGCAGAGAGCGGCGGCGCACGCGATGAAGCGCCCGACCCTCGCGTGTTTCAGCATCAATTCGCGGTCGCTGGCTTTCCTGACTGTTCGCCAGTCGTGTTCCACGTGTTCGGCGCAACGGGCGATGTCGTTGGTTTTGGCCAAAAGACAACAATAGTTGAGTTCTCCCATCAGCCAGTGGCTCATGGGACCAATAGCCTTCATCCGTATTTCCATCGCTACGTCTTCGAACAGAATGTACAACACGCAGGGTGCGAAGGTAAATATGATCAGCGAGTGACACGCGAGATTTAACAGTTTCGCGAGCAACCGGTCTGTCCTGGACTCGGTGATCTTTGGCCAAGCACCGATTGGCTTCAAGAACCACCGATTCACCTGAATACAATACTCGTAGTCACTGACATTAGAGGTGTTATTTACGGCGGGTTCGTCAGGTAGATTCAACATGATTACTATGCGATTGGTGTCCGTCGAGTGAAGAATAGCGCAGGTATTCGTACGACCAAAGCCGGCGCATGCGTCGATTTCTCTTTTTTTCCTTTGCCGGAATTATTCTTTCAACGCGACCAATTTTGGTCAATCAAGACAGCGCAAGACACAAAAGGCTACAACTTGGGAAAAGTCTAGAGTCGCGAAATACATGCGCGGTTCTATCTTGTTTTCTTCTTCGTTCTTTTTTGTGGTGGAAGAAAATAACAGGAAGGAGTTCTTTGAACGGTGCGACAATAGCATTTCAAGTAAACCGCGATTCGGTCACATTCAGTTATTCTTTAGATGGTAGAAAATATGAAAATGTAGTAACAGAATAGATTTTTGTTATGTGATGCTGAGTGGAATCGCGTGGATGATAACGTTATCAAATAGAGTTTCTTCTACCTAATTATCCGATTTTCATTTGACCATTTAGGGTAGTAAATGTTCATTCAAGATTTCATTAATCATCAACTATAACAGGAATAGCATATAATTCCACACGTATACAGGCGACGAGTGTTGGATTGACATAAACACGTGAGTCTCATACAAGTACTCAATTAGCACTCTAATTATCAGCACTTATTTATGTTATCGCTCGCAACATGTTTAAGAAGCCTACCGACGTTTTAACAACCTATTCATTTTTAACAGATTTCATTATGAATTCGGATGAGAAATAAAAATAGTCGGATACTCACATCACTGAAAGTGCTGATCGATAATTCTACCATGTTTCCCGCAGTGAATTTTATCGACGAATTGGACATAGCGATGATAAGGACGCAACAAAGCTTTTTCTTCCCTGACAGTCGATACCATTCGATCATGTACGTCATCTCGCCGACTTTCTCACACTACGCAACCAGATTATTAATTTATTTAATCAATCGATTCAAGTTATAACGAAGTAATCGTGAGGCTACCTGTCCAGCGACAAGCTCCCCTATGTAACAAAATATGAAAATGTTAAAGGTAAATGATGAGAGTAGCGTTACATATGTTATCATTTGCGACATGTTGCTCTGGTTCCATTCCTGTGACATGAAAGTATATGTATAATCCATACTAGAAATATTATGTAATATTACATTCTCTAATGACTCTTGATTTGAATGTACCTGTATAATGTAGAATCCTAGAAGACATAGATTCATGGTACAGCCTAAAAATTCTACGAAGGATATCTGCTGAAGCGATTTCTCTGTAAGCGCTAGAAATCTGAAATGTGACATTTGCATGCAATTTCTTTTTAAAGTTCGCGGATAAATTCCTAATGAAAATACGTAGCAATTAATTTTTGACGTAAGCATATACTGAATTTCCATACTTTAATATTCGGACATGTTGATCTACAATGTTTGCTATCCTGCTGTCCACTGACTTGCTCATATCCGATCGTCCTTCGATCAAATGCTCCAGCCAAATCATCAATACTTCCATCTGACCGCAGGCATGTACAGCGAACGTCGCAGCCAAGGTGCACATGGCAGATGTGATCGAATGCATCACCACACCTGCCAAAACTTGAATGGAGTAGACGATCTCGTTGGTAGGACTGACGCGGATGTCGGCGATTATCGTCGCGAAAGGAAACGCTATTGGTATGAAGGTCAGGTTGCCGTCCCTCGCCTTTCCCATGGAAACAGGCTGGACGAAATAGTAGAAAACGAAACTACAGTACACGAAGAAGGTACACATGGCCATTAATTTCCTTCCGTAGTTCGCGTACACCATCATCACATTTTTGTCCTCGCCGTGTCCGATGTTCCTCCAGTCCCATTTTATGTGCTCGATGCATTCGCGGATGTCGTTCTCGTGAAACATCAGCAGATAGTATATTAGAAACGTCATCACGAAGAAACTCAACGGGCCAACCAGTCTGATCTTACCGCTGAAGCTCTCGACGTCCATGAGTAGGAAAACGAGGCAGGGCACGAACAGGAATATGATCAGACCGCAGCACACGATGTTTGTCACCAAGGAGAGAAATCTGTTGATCCCGGAATCGATACGAGAATACGGCCAGGTACCGATAGATTTCATCAGCCAACGATTCCACTGGATGGCAACATTCACGTTTCGTTGATAATCGTCAACGACAGACCGCGCGTTCAGCGATTTTTCGTTTCGCATCGTTCACTCTCGGACGTTCGTGTTGTCACTGATGCTCGCGCGATTCTTCATGACGATTCGAAAGTAGAAGCAAAATGTTGCGCTTGCGCTCGGTTTCCCTCTCGCAAAAGGGAGAGAAATCGCTGGTAACGTTTTCTAAAGGGTGCAACCCTCATGAGTTCTCACTTTTATAACTTTATGCATTATGAATGCGCATGAAGTGCATGCAGCGTGACGGTTGAACGTCGATACATTGATTTTTTTATAATCGTTAGCGGAGCGCGAAGGGTTTTATCGTGACAGGTAAAACGGGCTGATTTAGGCAGTGGATCAACTTCCATTGGTGATTGTAGTAATTTAGAAGATAATTCTACTATATTCAAATTATATTGACTAAGGTTCCAGCAAAAAGTACATTGCAATACGTGCACCAAGTTTCACTTGAAAAGTGATATATTACTTTTTGTTTATATTACAAAGAATTTTTCCTACAAAGATTGTCTACGTCAGAGTGCGTAAAACGTTCAAAAATGCAACAGCTGTTTTAACGACCTATCGACACGAAAAATTTATTTGTAATTGCCGGATTATGTCAAGATGATTTTTAGTGGCGTATACTTACGTCGGTGAAAGTAGTTAGGCACAAGTCGACCATATTTCCGGCAGTAAGTTTCACGGACGAATTGGCCATTGCAATTATTAAAATGAAAGGGAGTTTCTTGCTTCCTCTCAATTTATACCAATTGACCATGTAAGATACTTCCCCAATTTGTTTACACTGATAAAAGTCATCGTGTGAAAATAGAGATAAAAACACAATCTTTGCGTTCATAGTTCATGAACAATTTAAGTTTACCTGTTCAGCCACCAATTCACCTATATAGCAATATATGAAAATATTGAATACAATGGATATGAGTAGTAGAAGGAACGTCACTGTACTGGTTAAATGATTCGAACTCGACTCCTAAAGATAAAACAAAAATCGCCCTTAAAATGTACATGAAACAAATTCTACAAGAGTTTAAATATGTGACTCACTTTCGTACCATAATAATGTAGTATCCGAGAACACATATGTGTAGCATGGATCCTAAGAATTCTATAAATGATACCGATTCAAGCGTTTTTTTTATGAGCGCTAAAAATCTGAAATTCGATTTACGTCGAGCACGATATCAATTACAAGTTTCAAAATAACATTTTAATTTCTGACTTCAAATTGCAAGTTTACAAATTTCACGTAAATATTAGTGGCAGCAGAGCACAAAAATTCTTACTCACTGCAATAATTGAACATGCTGGTTAACGATCATAGCGAGTCTCCTATCTACATCGTCTTCCATGTCTGATCGGCCGTCGATCAAATGATTCAGCCAGTTTATTAGCACTTGCATCTGGGCGCAAGCATGAATCGCCAATACGGCAGCCAAACTGCAAGCAACCGCAGTTATACTGTGCATTAGCGCGCCGGCTAACACTTGAAACGAGAAGCAAAGCTCGTTTATTGGACTCTTGCGAGTGTCTATGATGAATTTTGAAAATGGGAACAGCATCGGTATGAACGTCAGATTTTGATCCTGCGCTGGAATTTTGCCTACGCTGATCGGTAGAGCTATGTAATAAAATGCGAACCCACTGTACATAAAAAATACGCAGACCACGACGAACTTCCTGCTGAAATTCGCGTTTTCTATCATCACTTCTCTGTCCTTAGAGTAGGTGATGTTCTTCCAGTCCCATTCGATGCGTTTGACGCACTCGCGGATGTCTTCCTCGTGAACGATAAGCAAGTAGTACTTAAGAAACGCCATCACGCAAAAGCTCAATGGACCAACTAGTTTAATCTTCTGGTAGACGTCCTTTACTTCGAAGAATGTATAAAGACTGCACGGTATAAACAGGTAAATGATCAAACTGTAACACAGAATGTTTATCAGCCTATAAATGTATTTGTTCATCGTGGATCGTGAGTTTGGCCAGAGCCCGATCGACTTCAAGATCCATCGGGTCCATTGAATACTGAGGTTCACGTATTGCTCGAATTCATATGTTTTCGCGACTATTTTCTTCTTGTGCTCCCCCTTTCGCATCATTAATGTTTGAATGCTCGCTTGATACTAATGACAATATTATACAGACCAGTTCAAGGAAGCTAACGCGCTTGCGCTCGTTACCTGATTTATCATGTAAGAAGGGAGTCGAAGGGAGAAGTGAAAGTTTTTCTTGCGAGGGGCTCGACCTTCTCTCCGTGATTGTAATTTTTTAGTTAGTGAATTATGCATTTGTACATGTAGAGTCGATGGACCATGACAGTGTAGAACCGAGAAAACCGATGAATTGATTTCTTTCTCCCCATATTGAAGAGCGTACATTCGTCGGGTAAGTAGTTGCATGATATTTTAATGTTTATTCCTGGAGAAGAGCTACGATTACTGAACATTCAGCTTTACTCTCGGTCGTGAAACTCGGCATCAGTGAAATGGGATAACTTCAAGATGACCATTAATAAGCATTTATGAATCTATCGATGTGAATACATACTTCTGAATACGCATGTATTGATTCACGATGCTTTCAATTCTGACATCTACAATACCATGTTCGATCGGTTATCGGTCAAGTGATTCAACCAGTTTATTAGCATTTGCATCTGACCGCAAGCGTGAACGGCGGAAAGCTGTCAAACTGCAAGCGGCCGTCATAATCGCGTGGAACACGTCCTCCACCATCAATGGAATGAAGAAGACAGTTTCGTTCGTCAACACTGTATCTTGTGCCAATTATGTACGATGAGAAAGGAAAGTCGAAAGGAATGAAGGTGAGATTATTCCCGATTGAAATTTGGCCGACGCTAATTGGCACGACGATGTAATAGAATGCAAAGTCGCCGATGATAAAAAATGTGAAGATTATCACATGTATGTTTCCGACTGAATTTTCATTAGTGATTGCAATAAAATTATGAGATAATTTCAATACATTATTTTTATTAAGACTTCAACAAAGAGTGTAATGCAGTACGTACAACAAGTTTCATTTGAAATTTGATATACTGTTTCGTATAATAATCATTTTACAATAAAGAATGTTTACGTCACTGTTCGTAAAACGTTCAAAAATGCAACAGCTGTTTTAACGACCTATCGATACGAGAAATTTTTGAGTAATTAACGGATTATGTCAAGATGATCTACAATCGTCTATACTTACGTCACTGAATGTAGTTAGACACAAGTCGACTATATTTCCGGCAGTAAGTTTCACGGACGAATTGGCCATTGCAATAATTAAAATGACAGGGAGTTTTTTGCTTCCTCTCAATTTATACCAATTGACCATGTAAGATACTTCCCCAATTTGTTTACACTGACAAAAGCCATTAGGTGAAAATAGAAATAAAAACACAATCGTTGCTTCCATTGGCCATGAACGCTTTAAGTTTACCTGTTCAGCCACCAATTCACCGATGTAGCAATATATGAAGATATTGAATATAAGGGATATGAGTATTACGAGGAATGTCATTGTACTGGTTAAATGATTCGAATTCGACTCCTAAGGATAACAGAAAAATCGCCCTTAAAATGTACATGAAACAAATTCTACAATAGTTTAAATATGTGACTCACTTTCGTACCATAATAATGTAGTATCCGAGAAGACATATGTTTAGCATGGATCCTAAGAATTCTACAAATGATACCGATTCAAGCGTTTTCTTTATGAGCGCTAAAAATCTGAAATTCGATTTACGTCGAGCACGATATCAATTACAAGTTTCAAAATAACATTTTAATTTATGACTTCAAATTGCAAGTTTACAAATTTGACGTAAATATTAGTGGCAGCAGAGCACAAAAATTCTTACTCACTGCAATAATTGAACATGCTGGTTAACGATCATAGCTAGTCTCCTATCTACATCGTCTTCCATGTCTGATCGGCCGTCGATCAAATGATTCAGCCAGTTTATTAGCACTTGCATCTGGGCGCAAGAATGAACCGCCAATACGGCAGCTAAACTGCAAGCAGCCGCAGTTATACTGTGCAACAGCGCACCGGCTAACACTTGAAACGAAAAGCAAAGCTCGTTTATTGGACTGTTGCGAGTGTCTATGATGAATTTTGAAAATGGGAACAGCATCGGTATGAACGTCAGATTTTGATCCTGCGCTGGAATTTTGCCTACGCTGATCGGTAGAGCTATGTAATAAAATGCGAACCCACTGTACATAAAAAATACGCAAACGATGACCAACTTCCTGCCGAAATTGGCATTTTCTATCATCACTTCCCTGTCCTTAGAGTATGTGAGGTTCTTCCAGTCCCATTCGATGCGTTCGACGCACTCGCGGATGTCTTCCTCGTGAATGTTAAGCAAGTAGTACTTGAGAAACGCCATCACGCAAAAGTTCAACGGACCAAGGAGTTTAATTTTATCATAGACGTCCTTCACTTCGAGGAATACGTAAAGACTGCACGGTACAACCAGGTAAATGATCAAACTGTAACACAGAATGTTTATCAGCCTGTAAATGTATTTGTTCATCGTGGATCGTGAGTTTGGCCAGAGCCCGATCGACTTCAAGATCCATCGGGTCCATTGAATACTGAGGTTCACGTATTGCTCGAATTCATATGTCTTCGCGACTATTTTCTTCTTGTGCTCCCCCTTTCGCATCATTAATGTTTGAATGCTCGCTTGATACTAATGACAATATTATACAGACCAGTTCAAGGAAGCTAACGCGCTTGCGCTCGTTACCTGATTTATCATGTAAGAAGGGAGTCGAAGGGAGAAGTGAAAGTTTTTCTTGCGAGGGGCTCGACCTTGCACGATATCAATTACAAGTTTCAAAATAACATTTTAATTTATGACTTCAAATTGCAAGTTTACAAATTTCACGTAAATATTAGTGGCAGCAGAGCACAAAAATTCTTACTCACTGCAATAATTGAACATGCTGGTTAACGATCATAGCTAGTCTCCTATCTACATCGTCTTCCATGTCTGATCGGCCGTCGATCAAATGATTCAGCCAGTTTATTAGCACTTGCATCTGGGCGCAAGAATGAACCGCCAATACGGCAGCTAAACTGCAAGCAGCCGCAGTTATACTGTGCAACAGCGCACCGGCTAACACTTGAAACGAAAAGCAAAGCTCGTTTATTGGACTGTTGCGAGTGTCTATGATGAATTTCGAAAATGGGAACACCATCGGTATGAAGGTCAGATTTTGATCCTCCGCTGGAATTTTGCCTACGCTGATCGGTAGAGCTATGTAATAAAATGCGAACCCACTGTACATAAAAAATACGCAAACGATGACCAACTTCCTGCCGAAATTGGCATTTTCTATCATCACTTCCCTGTCCTTAGAGTATGTGAGGTTCTTCCAGTCCCATTCGATGCGTTCGACGCACTCGCGGATGTCTTCCTCGTGAATGTTAAGCAAGTAGTACTTGAGAAACGCCATCACGCAAAAGTTCAACGGACCAAAGAGTTTAATTTTATCATAGACGTCCTTCACTTCTAGGAATACGTAAAGACTGCACGGTACAAACAGGTAAATGATCAAACTGTAACATAGAATGTTTATCAGTCTGTAAATGCATTTGTTCATCGTGGATTGCGAGTTTGGCCAGAGCCCGATCGACTTCAAGATCCATCGGGTCCATTGAATACTGAGGTTCACGTATTGCTCGAATTCATATGTTTTCGCGACTATTTTCTTCTTGTGTTCCCCTTTTCGCATCGTTAATGTTTGAATGCTCGCTTGATACTAATGACAATATTATAGAGACCAGTTCAAGGAAGCTAACGCGCTTGCGCTCGTTACCTGATTTATCATGTAAGAAGGGAGTCGAAGGGAGAAGTGAAAGTTTTTCTTGCGAGGGGCTCGACCTTCTCTCCGTGATTGTAATTTTTTAGTTAGTGAATTATGCATTTGTACATGTAGAGTCGATGGACCATGACAGTGTAGAACCGAGAAAACCGATGAATTGATTTCTTTCTCCCCATATTGAAGAGCGTACATTCGTCGGGTAAGTAGTTGCATGATATTTTAATGTTTATTCCTGGAGAAGAGCTACGATTACTGAACATTCAGCTTTACTCTCGGTCGTGAAACTCGGCATCAGTGAAATGGGATAACTTCAAGATGACCATTAATAAGCATTTATGAATCTATCGATGTGAATACATACTTCTGAATACGCATGTATTGATTCACGATGCTTTCAATTCTGACATCTACAATACCATGTTCGATCGGTTATCGGTCAAGTGATTCAACCAGTTTATTAGCATTTGCATCTGACCGCAAGCGTGAACGGCGGAAAGCTGTCAAACTGCAAGCGGCCGTCATAATCGCGTGGAACACGTCCTCCACCATCAATGGAATGAAGAAGACAGTTTCGTTCGTCAACACTGTATCTTGTGCCAATTATGTACGATGAGAAAGGAAAGTCGAAAGGAATGAAGGTGAGATTATTCCCGATTGAAATTTGGCCGACGCTAATTGGCACGACGATGTAATAGAATGCAAAGTCGCCGATGATAAAAAATGTGAAGATTATCACATGTATGTTTCCGACTGAATTTTCATTAGTGATTGCAATAAAATTATGAGATAATTTCAATACATTATTTTTATTAAGACTTCAACAAAGAGTGTAATGCAGTACGTACAACAAGTTTCATTTGAAATTTGATATACTGTTTCGTATAATAATCATTTTACAATAAAGAATGTTTACGTCACTGTTCGTAAAACGTTCAAAAATGCAACAGCTGTTTTAACGACCTATCGATACGAGAAATTTTTGAGTAATTAACGGATTATGTCAAGATGATTTATAATCGTTTATACTTACGTCGCTGAATGTAGTTAGGCACAAGTCGACCATATTTCCAGCAGTAAGTTTCACGGACGAATTGGCCATTGCAATAATTAAAATGAAAGGGAGTTTCTTGCTTCCGCTCAATTTATACCAATTAGCCATGTATGATACTTCCCCAATTTGTTTACACTGACAAAAGCCATTAGGTGAAAATAGAAATAAAAACACAATCGTTGCGTCTACATTTCATGAACACTTTAATTTTACCTGTTCGGCCACCAATTCGCCTATGTAGCAAAATATGAAAATATTGAATGTAAGGGATATAAGTATTACTAGACACGTTGCTGCACTGGTTAAATGATTCGCACTTGACTCCTAAAGATAAAACAAAAGTCGCCTTTAAAATGTACAGTGAACTAGTTCTGCATTACTTTAAATAACTTTCGTACCATAATAACGTAGTATCCGAGAAGACATATGTTTATCATGCATCCTAAGAATTCTACGAATGATACAGGTTGAAGCGTTTTTTCTGTGAGCGCTAAAAACCTGTAATTCGATTTAGGTCGAGCACGAATATCAATTAAATTACATTTCAATTTCCGAGTTCAAGTCCCAAGCTTAGAATTCCCACGCAAATACTAGTGTGGCACAGCACGGCAGCAAAATTCTTACTCACTTCAATAGTCGAACATGCTGGTTAACGATCATAGCGATTCTCCTGTCCACATTATCGTCCATGTCTGATCGGCCGTCTACCAAATGTTCCAGCCACTTCATTAATACTTGCATCTGGCCGCAAGCATGAATCGCCAATACGGCAGCCAAACTGCAAGCAGCCGCAGTTATACTGTGCATCAGCGCGCCGGCTAATACTTGAAACGAGAAGCAAAGCTCGTTTATTGGACTCTTGCGAGTGTCTATGATGAATTTTGAAAATGGGAACACCATCGGTATGAAGGTCAGATTTTGATCCTCCGCTGGAATTTTGCCTACGTTGATCGGTAGAGCTATGTAATAAAATGCGAACCCACTGTACATAAAAAATACGCAGACCACGACGAACTTCCTGCTGAAATTCGCGTTTTCTATCATCACTTCTCTGTCCTTAGAGTAGGTGATGTTCTTCCAGTCCCATTCGATGCGTTTGACGCACTCGCGGATGTCTTCCTCGTGAACGATAAGCAAGTAGTACTTAAGAAACGCCATCACGCAAAAGCTCAATGGACCAACTAGTTTAATCTTCTGGTAGACGTCCTTTACTTCGAAGAATGTATAAAGACTGCACGGTATAAACAGGTAAATGATCAAACTGTAACACAGAATGTTTATCAGCCTATAAATGTATTTGTTCATCGTGGATCGTGAGTTTGGCCAGAGCCCGATCGACTTCAAGATCCATCGGGTCCATTGAATACTGAGGTTCACGTATTGCTCGAATTCATATGTTTTCGCGACTATTTTCTTCTTGTGCTCCCCCTTTCGCATCGTTGATGTTTGAATGCTCGCTTGATACTAATGACAATATTATAGAGACCAGTTCAAGGAAGCTAACGCGCTTGCGCTCGTTTCCTGATTTATCATGTAAGAAGGGAGTCGAAGGGAGAAGTGAAAGATTTTCCTGCGATGGGCTCGACCCTCTCTCCGAGATTGTAATTTTTTAGTTAGTGAATTATGCATTTGTACACGTGGAGTTGGTGGAACAATGACAGTGAAGTACTGAAACCGATGAATTGATTTTTTTCTCCCCATGTTGAAAAGCGAACTTTTATCTGATATTCCTACTCTATTGCTTCTGATGCTTGTAATTCTTAGTTGTTTGTGTTTGAAAGTTGGACGATATCTTTGATGATAATTTTACCGTTGTCAAACATTTGATCATAGGATGAAGAGGTATGTACAATTTTAAAAATAAAACAATGTTACGTTTAATACAACACTGTTTTATTCTTCATCATTTTGACAACAACGTGATAAACACTGATTGTAGCAAACATTGTGCGATGCATCGTTAGTATAATATTTAACAACCACACGTAATAACAACGGTCGTTCAGAGATAGGCACATTAAAAGATTATAGAAAATATTAATACTGGCACACGTTCACGTCGTTGTTCTCAATACATTTAAAAAGGCAACGGATGTTTTAACGACCTGTAGGTTAAACAAAGTTCTATAAATTGATAATGAAAAAATAATTTATGAATAATTTGATACTTACATCGGTAAAAGTACTGATAGATAAATTCACCATGTTTCCCGCCGTTAGTTTTATCGAGGTACTGGACATCGCTATTATCATAATGCAACACTGTTTGCTCTTCCCTGGAAGCCGATACCATTCGATCATGTACGACGCGTCACCGATTTTTCTGCACTATTAGATTCCGTTCATTATGAAAGCACAATATTCGTCATACTGAACAGCCTACATTCGAATTACGAGATTCAAAAGAAACTTACATGCTCGGCGACCATCTCGCCTATGTAACAAAATATGAAAATGTTAAACGTAAGTGATATGAGTAAAATAGTGTAAGTCACGACACTCGTAACGTCGTTCGACTTCGACTCCTATAATACCAAATTGTACAACAGGAACAAATTCGTGTATACTTGAAGAAAATTTAGAGATCCTACCATAATGACATAGTATCCAACGAGACAAATGTCCAGCGTGCATCCTAAAAACTCGGCGAAAGATACTTGCTGTAGCGTTCTCTCTGTAAGCGCCAAGAATCTGCAATAACGAGCAGTTTTCTCTTAAGTGAAGATATATGAACAGGTTCCAAACGAATTTGGCCAATTTTTAAGTAACAAAGGAAATGAAAACAAGGAACAAAAACACATCATTCCCTTTAATCCTGAAGAAAAACTATAATCGCGGGTTTCTTGTTTTGAGAACAGGTCATCTCGATACAATTTAAAGTATCAATAGACCTCAGTATCAGCGAATAGCGATAATTTCAAGATGACCATTAATAAATTCTTTGACGTTAATACATACTTTAGAATACGGACGTGTTGTTCCACGATACTCGCTATTCTACCGTCTATGCTACTACTCATGTCGGGTCGGCCATCGATCAAGTGATTCAGCCAGTTCATTAGCACCTGCATCTGGCCGCAAGCATGAACCGCGAAAGCGGCTGCCAAACTGCAAGCGGCTGACGTGATGCCGTGCATCAAGCCACCAGCCATAAATTGAACGGAAAACACAATCTCGTTCGCCGGACTGTAGCGCGTGTCACTTATGTACGACGAGAAAGGAAACACGTGAGGAATAAAGGTAAGATTGTCAGCTGAAATTCTACCGATACTAATGGGTATAGCGATGTAATAGAATACGAAGCCGCCATACATAAAAAATGTGCAGAGGATCATCAGTTTCCGTCCAAAATTCGCGTTTGTCAACATTATATTTCTATCGCTGCCATAGTTGATATTCTTCCAGTCCCATTCGATTCGCCTCAGGCACTCACGGATGTCAGCCTGGTGGACGATCAGGGAAGAGTATTTCGCAAATGCCATCACACAAAATATCAGTGGACCGAATTGTTTGAGTTTATTGTAAAGATCCTCTAATTCGAGAAATACGTATAGAATACAAGGTATAAAAAGGAAGGCGAGTAGACTATAACAAGCGATGTTCACGAGCCGATATAATCGAATGACACGCGATTTTGGCCAGAGACCTATAGGTTTCAGCAGCCATCGGATCCATTGAATACTCAGATTCAAGTGTCTCTGGTAATCGTTTGCAGTTTCCAAAGGATACATTTCGTCCATTACTGAATTTCGTATCCTTGATCTGTGAGAGTAGGAACGCGACTAAATAATTTCCAGTATTGGTGCGAAGGGAAAAAAAGGGTGCGCTTGCGCTCTTTTGAAATTTCCATCGATGACAGGGAGAACGCCGAAGCAATTTCCTGCATTTAGATTCACCCTTCAGAAAAGTTCAGTTCTTTTCGCTTTATGCATAATGAATGCACAGAGCAGAATAATAGCGGTATAACATCGATAACATGATTCTTAAAGTTCGCGTATCGAGTAAGTGAAGTGTGGTTAATCGTATTGCTAATCAATTCATAAGGTGATTGATTTTTAGGAATCCTCGCAGTGCATTTGCTAAGTTTATTACTCTCTTCGAGATTACAAAAATACAAACACCATAATATTACATGTGTCTTGGACTTTTGTTCATTTTCATTCATATTTACGAACTCTTGTCTGGACGCTTACATCTGAAGATAAATAACGTTTTATATGTATTTTGTGATTATCGATATACGTTTTATATGATTTTGTGATTTTTCATCGAAGGTAAGTGTAACTGAAAAGTGCAACATACGAACCCAGCGGCAAATTTCAATGCGAAATGGTTTTTTAACATCTCAAAATGTGGTTTTTTGCATGCTCAACACGACGTGCTAAATATTGTTAGAACATGCAACTATTCTTTACAATTAATCAGTTCCTTCACATCAGGCACGTTAAAATATTATGGTAAATATTAACTTTCAAATAAATTTATGTTGTCGCTCGTAACACATTTAAGAAAGCGACCGATGTCTTAACAACCTATTGACGTTAAAAAATTAAATTACTGATTACAGATAAAAAAAAACTCTTTGGATAATTAATTTGATACTTACATCGGCAAACGTGCTAATAGATAATTCTACCATCTTCCCAGCTGTCAGTGTTGTCGTAGAATTGGACATCGCTATTATCATAACGCAGCAGAGTTTCTTATTTCCTGGCAATCGATACCATTCGATCATGTACGACATCTCACCGATTTTCCTGCACTGTTACACTCTCCTTGTTATTGATTGTATTTTTTTAATTGAGGAACTCACTTTAAAATTACGAACGTTGTAAGAAACTTACATGCTCGGCTACTATCTCGCCGATGTAACAAAATATGAAAATGTTAAGTGTAAACGATATGAGTAGAACGACATAAGTTACGACATTCGTATAATCGTTCGATTTCGTTTCCTATAATATTAAACAGTATAATAATAATGAGTTCGAATATACATATGTATATACATACTCGTTTCGAAATAATCCTACCATGATAACATAATATCCAATGAGACATATGTCCAATGTGCATCCCAAAAATTCGGCGAATGACACTTGTTGCAGCGTTTTCTCCGTGAGTGCCACAAATCTGAAACAGTGGACAATTCTCTTAAACGATGGCGTTAGAAAAGTAAAAAACACGAATGGATGAAACTAAAGAAACAGAATTGGAAAGGAAAATAATAGACTTGTCATCTATCGTTCCATACAAAAACTATGAATCAAATTTATTTCAGCTTTCCTTTTGTTCTAAAGCGAATTAAAGGAATTAAAAGAATCACCGTGAAATCAATAGCATTCTTATCGATTATTGATTGGAATGCTGAAAACACGAATTTCGACAAAATACAAGATCAACAACAATTATATAGTTTGAAAAATTGTGATAATTTCAAGGAAATCGTCAGTGAGATAATGAGTGAATGAATTTATATACGCACTTCAGAATTCGAACGTGCTGGGACACGATTTTCTCTATTCTACTGTCTACGTTGTTGCTCATGTCGGATCGGTAGTCGATCAAATAATTGAGCCAATTCATCAACACCTGCATCTGACCGCAAGAGTGGATCGCCAAAGAGGCTGCTAAGCCGCAGGAGGCTGATGCGATGCTATGCTCCAGTGCAGCGGTTACCAATTGAATGCCATAGACGATTTCGTTCGCGGGACTGTACTGGGTGTCGATTATATATTTCGAGAATGGAAGATTGTAGGTGATATTATCGTCTTCCGCCGTGATTCTATCAATACTGGGTATGGCAATGTCATAGAATATGAAGCCGCTGTACATAAAAAAAGTGCACAGGATCACCATCCTTCGGCCAAAATTCGCGTTTGCCAACATGATGTCTCGATCGTCGTTATAAGTAATATTTTTCCAATCCCATTCGATTCGTTTCACGCATTCGCGGATTTCAGCCGCGTGAACGATTAGAGCATAATATTTAGCCATCGACGTCAGGCCGAATACTAGAGGACCGAATTCTTTGAGCATGCTGTAAACATCTTCTAATTCGAGAAATATGTACATAGTCGTAGGAATGAAATGCAACGTGAGTAGACCGCAGCATACAATGTTTAGGAACCGGAAAAAGTATTTTTTTAATTTTGGTGTCGTATATGAACTTGGCCAGAGACCCATCGGTTTTAGTAATCGACGGGTCCATTGGATGCTTAGATCAATGTGTTGTTCATAATCGCACTTGGCCGGAGGGGGATGATTGTCGTCGGTTATTGATTGATGCATCCTTGATGCTTAAGAGCACGACCAAAACTAACTGCTGTTCAGTATTGCCGGTTTGTCGGGAATAATAGTGATGCGCTTGCGCTAATTTATAATTCCTGTCGCCAGCAGGGAGCAGGCAAAAGCGATTTTCTACTATTAAATTGACCCTTCCGACCAGTTCAGTCCTTTCGCTTCATGGATTATGAGTGAATGGAGTAGAATAATAGCGGTGAAACATCGGCAACTTGATTTTCAAAGTTCGCAACACGAGTAACTTACGTTTCTAGCATAGTTAATTAATTTATGAGGTGATCGATTCTTAGGAATCCTAACAGTGCATTTGCTAAGTTTATTTTCTCTTCGAGATTACAAAAATACCAACACGATAATATTACATGTGCCTTGGAGTTTCGTTCATTTTCATTAATAATTACGATCTTTTATCGCTTACATCTGTCGATGAATAATATTTTACAAGCATTGTGTGATTGTCACATTCCTCATCGAAGGTGAGTACAAGCGAAAAGTATAACATACGAATCGAGCGGTAAACTTCAACGCAAATCGGATTCTTAATATCCTGTCAAAATATGTATGGTCCTTTGCATGTTCAACACGATGTGCTAAATATTGATAGAACATGACAACTATTCTTTACAATTAATCAGTTCCTTCACATCAGGCACGTTAAAATATTATGGTAAATATTAACTTTCAAATAAATTTAGGTTGTGGCACGTAACACATTTAAGAAAGCGACCGAGGTCTTAACAACCTATTGACGTTAAAAGATTCAATTACTGATTACAGATAAAAAATCATTAGGATAATTAATTTGATACTTACATCGGCAAACGTGCTAATAGATAATTCTACCATCTTCCCAGCTGTCAATGGTGTCGTAGAATTGGACATCGCTATTATCATAACGCAGCAGAGTTTCTTATTTCCTGGCAATCGATACCATTCGATCATGTACGACATCTCACCGATTTTCCTGCACTGTTACACTTTCCTTATTGTTGATTGTACCTTTTTAATTGAGAAACTCACTTTGAAATTACGAACGTTGTAAGAAACTTACATGCTCGGCTACCATTTCGCCGATGTAACAAAATATGAAAATGTTAAGTGTAAACGATATGAGTAGGATGACATAAGTCACGGCGTTCCTATAATCGTTCAATTTCGTTTCCTATAATATTAAACAGTATAATAATAAGGAGTTTGAGTATATGTATATACATGTACTACTCGTTTCGAAATAATCCTACTATGATAACATAATATCCAATGAGGCATATGTCCAATGTGCACCCCAAAAATTCGGCGAATGACACTTGTTGCAGCGTTTTCTCTGTGAGTGCCACAAATCTGAAACAGTGGACAATTCTCCTTGAACGATGGCGTTAGAAGAGTAAAAAACACGTATGGATCAAACTGAAAAAGAATTGGGAAGGAAAATAATAGACTAGTCAACTATCATTATAGCTACCGTACAAAGACTGTAATTCAAATTTATTTCAGCTTTCCATTTGTTCTAAAGAAAATTAAAGGAATTAAAAGAATCACCGTTAAATCAATAGCATTCTTATCGATTATTGAGTGGAATGCTGAAAATACGAATTCCGATGAATTACAAGATTAACACAAATCGTACAGTTGAAATGAATATGATAATTTCAAAAAATTCGTCAGCGAGGTAAGGTATGAATGAGTTTATGTATACGCACTTCAGAATTCGAACATGTTGAGACACAATCTTCTCTATTTTACCGTCCACGTCGTTGCTCATGTCGGATCGGTGTTTGATCAAATAATTTAACCAATTCATCAACACCTGCATCTGACCGCAAGAGTGGATCGCTAAACAGGCTGCTAAGCAGCAAGCGGCTGATTCGATGCTGTGCTCCAGCCCGGCGGTTATCGTTTGAATGCAAAAGACGATTTCGTTAGCGGGACTATACTGGGTGTCGATTATGTATTTCGAGAATGGGAGAATGTAGGTGATATTATCGTCTTTCGTCGTGATTCTCTCAATAATGGGTAGGGCAACATGATAGAAAATGAAGCCGCTGTACATAAAAAACGTGCACAGGATCACCATTCTTCGGCCAAAATTCGCGTTTGCCAACATGATGTCACGATCGTCGTTATAAGTAATATTTTTCCAATCCCACTCGATTCTTTTCATGCACTCACGGATTTCAGCCGCGTGAATGATTAATGCATAATATTTCACTATCGACGACATGCCAAATACTAGAGGACCGAATTCTTTGAGCATGCTGTAAACATCCTCTAATTCGAGAAATATGTACATAGTTGTAGGAATTAAATGCAACGTGAGTAGACCGCAGCATACAACGTTTATGAACAGGAAAAAGTATTTTTCTAATTTTGGTGTCGTATATGAACTTGGCCAGAGACCCATCGGTTTCAGTAATCGACGGGTCCATTGAATGCTTAGATCAATGTCTTCCTGATAATCGCATTTGGTCGAAGGTGGATGACTATCGTCAGTTATTGATTGATGCATCCTCGATGCTTAAGAGCACGACCAATACTAAGTGCTCCTCAGTATTATCGGTTTGCCGGGAATAATAGTGATGCGCTTGCGCTAATTTGTAATTCCTGTCGCCAGCAGGGAGCCGGCGAACGCGATTTTCTACTTTTAGATTCACCCTTCTGATCAGTTCAATCTTTTTCGCTTTATGGATTATGAATGAACGGAGTAGAATAATAGCGGTAAAACATCGGCAACTTGATTTTTAAAGTTCGCGAATCGAATAGCTTACGTTTCCAGCATAGTTAATCAATTTATGAGGTGATCGATTCGTAAACACCACGCGAGTGCATTTGCTACGTTTATTCTTCCTTCCATGTTACAAAAATATATACAACAAAATACTACATGTTATTTCTTTTAGTGGTTACGATCATTCATGCACAAACATGGATAGTATTTTTTTTAAATATTTTTTGTATGTCGGACGTTTAATTGTAGTTGGGTACAGGGGTAAGTACTCCAAAATACAATATATGTATGTAGGAATTAAGCAGCACAATACAGCGCAAATCTATTTTTAAACATTTCTCCACGGGTGATACTTGAAACGTTCCGAGAATTGTGTGAAATATTTTTCACACACAATAATTGTCCTTTATATGTAACAGTATTGGTTCCTTCATCACAGGCACATCAACAGATTATAAATAACATTGTCTTTGAAACAAACTTATGTAGTTGCTCGTAACACATTCAAAAAACCGACCGCAGTCTTAATAACCTGTTATCGTTAAAAAAATTCAGTTACTGCTTACGGATAGAAAAATCATTATGATACTTACATTGGCAAAGGTGTTGATAGTTAATTCCACCATCTTCCCGGCTGTTAATGTTGCCGTAGAATTGGACATCGCTATTATCATAACGCAGCAGAGTTTCTTTTTTCCTGGCAATCGATACCATTCGATCATGTATGACATCTCACCGATTTTCCTGCACTGTCATGCTTTTCTTAATGTCCACATATTTTTTAATGGTACATCATCCTACAATTCTGAACTTTATAGGAAACTTACGTTCTCGGTCACTATTTCGCCTATGTAGCAAAATATGAAAATGTTGAACGTCAGCGATATGAGTAAGCTGACATAAGTTATGGCAGTTTTTAAGTCATTGATTTCCTGTAA